CAACAAACGAAAAATACAAGAAGAGAAATTACAGATTCAGAGATTTTATATTGGACTGTGTAGAAAAATGACTGAACCAAACAAAGAGGGTGGAGAGGGAGAAGAGTCAAGGAATGAAGTGGATGACAAATCTATTGCGTCAGACTCGAGTGCAGTCACGCCTCCGCCCTCGACCTTGAAAAGACCACCAGTGAATGAGCCAGTAAATCGTCTAGAGGGTGGCTTGAAAATTCACAAAATGGTCCATGTTCCTCCCAGTAACAAGAAGAATGGTGCCCTGAGAAAGTGTCGCGTGAGTGCTAAGCACAAGATTAGAAAAGAAACAAGTATCATGTGTGCAGGCTGTGGTGTGGCTCTCTGCAAATTTTCATGTTTCAATGTTTATCACACGAAGAAAAACTAATAAAGAGGTATGGAAAGGCATTTATTGCATAAAATATTGTATTTTAATTAGTTCCTGAAAATTTCGTTTTTAAAAACCAATTTTTGTTGAAATTGTTTAGGAAAAAGTAACTACATGCATTTTAGCGACATAAGGTTTAAAGGGCCTGCCAGGACAGGGGTGGGATTTAAATACCCTTCTCGCCAGTCAAAGAGTTAACACAATACACAAACACTGTCTTCATAAACCAATTGCTAACCTCTCATGCTTTCAGATCAACATTTTTAATAACCTGCCATCTGATCTCAGAGGTCTTATGAATGAAAAGGCATGATTTAAAATAGCACTGAAACGATACTTAAATAGATACTACGGGGTTCTTACGATGGTGTATAACACACAGAGATACTGGGTTTTCGGACTTTGTCCATCGTGCGGATTCTAAATAACTAAGTAAAAAACAAAACGTTTCAGAAACCGATCCAGTTTCCAAAATGTTGTGATTTTTACTTAGTTATTTAGAATTTGGATGATGGACAAAGCCTGAAAACCCAGTATCTCTGTGTGATACTTAAATACACATTCATTCTACTCTGCTGATGAATACCTATTGTCTAGAAAATAACTTATGTATCTCTAAATAGCCTTGTGTGTAGTCACTGTGTATTCTTGGTTTCTCTTGCGTGAGAACTCCATTGGGTATGTACATATGTTTTGTATTTACATGACATATTTGATATCCTGCAGTCATTTTGACTAACTTTGGATCCATGGAATGCAATGCAGTGTAATATAAGTACTTTATTTAATTTGTCTTTCTTAATCTCTCTTACTCAAAAGTGTATTTTTCTAATTTTCCAAGTACTTTCATTCCAAGTTTTTCCTTCATAGTAACTGGCCTGCTTTGTTAAAAAAAATCACATAAAAACAAACTGAAAATAGCATTAAAAATATTAAAATGAATTTCTGAAGTATATTTTGTTTAAGTTCAATAGTGAACATATTAACAGGCTGCTTACCTGAAGATAATAATCATTATTGACATTACTTTTACTGGCCAGCAACTTGGCATCTGCCAGTGTCGCCTCCATCCGTCTGTGTCTGGACTCCACTGCCTGGAACATCATACTACAGTAACAAATGTCATACTCTATCAGCTACAGAAGCCCTAAATCACTGAGACAGACGTCACAATGCTCATAACTGTGACGTGGAGGGCAGTGGAAAGATCTGAATGGCTATTTCAATGTTCTGCCTGCCACTCATCTGCGGGACATGACAAAACATCACAGTCACGATACACAGAAATATTGGTTGAGAATGAATTTAAAATTAAATTTCAGATTCAACCTCGATGAAGTTTTTGGAACAAATATCTGAATATATCTATACCAGAGTTTGTACTGTCTACTAAACTGTGAGACCGAAGTGACACTAGAGCCTCTCACAGAAGTGACTATGACAAGTGTTATCTTCCTGGATGTGATGCAAATGTAATCTGATAAAGAGACTGCTATAACTGCTTCTTTCGCTGACTGCTTGGCTTACTCTTTGATCGCGATGACAGAGGCATATGTTCTTCCAAAACATCAGTAAACTTCTAGCACACTGCATGGCAACACATCCCAGAAGATATTTCTCATCTTGTGACTAAGAAGTCTGTTCGCTAATTAAAAAGTTGAATATAGAACATACAGAGAAGCACAGCAGACAAATGGCCTCCATCTACTTTTAGTATCAATACTGCCTAATGCTGAACAAAATCAGGAATTCATTAAAAATTAGTCTGTAAACCTGACCAACTATTCAAGCATGCCTTATGAGCAAAATTGTTTTACTTTTATAGTGATGTTTTTATGTTCTTATAAAACATATTTTTTTCTAATTAAAATAAAATAATGTTCTGCTTATTAGCGGTGAGCTTAGTGTTTATTACAGTGAAGTTTAAATCTCCTTGAGATGATGATTACATCTACTTCTACATTTATATCAGTAAAAAAAAAGTAAAGCTATCCCCGTAACAGGCCGTGAAGGCCCATAGGGTTGTGAGATGTTGAGCTTCCCACATTTTCTAGACAACTGGCTCATAGATGGAAGTAAGGTTGTCAGCCTTACTCGCCGGCCACGCTTTACTCCCCAGGAAAATTATTTGAATTCCTGGTACTCATTTCTGTTAGAGGCTGAGTCGACCCCAGGGCCATAGTGCGGCTGAAAGGATTAGGTAAATTGGAAAAAATCCAATGACTTCATCGGGAGTTGAATCCGCAACTTTCCAGCTTGTAGCACAGTGCCTCAACCAACTACGCTACCTCGTGCCCCCACATTTATATCAGTCCTCATCCAATTACTTCAAGAGTGACAAATCTCACAATACATAGACACAATCGTAGGAACTAGACTAGCTTTCACGTGATAAATTACAACTGATTTTCATTTTAATCACACCAACCAACAGCTCGAGAAAGAAAGAAAGAAAAAAAGAAAGAGGCACATAAGTCAAATTAAATTTCTGCACATATCTCTTTTTTAATCACAATGAATGCCTAATTCAAAACAAAAGGAGTCTGCAGAGAACAAGACATTATACTGTAAAATATCAATTTTTGTTTCTGATCACAATGAATATCCAGTTCAGTTATCTGAGACAATCATTAATGAAAAAATTTAAGGCTCCTAACCTGAAGTTCTTTTGGGTTACTATGAAGTATTACAGCCATGATGTGTGTTCCATTCTGGATACCATGTGTATGAAGTTCTGTGTTCATCTTCAGCACTTTGCCACTCAAAATCAGTTTTATCCTAAACAAATAATTTTCAAAGGAATCATAAAATTTACTACCAATATATTTTAGAGTTCTAAACAAAGAAGCATAAATATCTTGAAATGAAACTTTGTTGCAACAACATTCATCTTATGAGTAATTCACTTCATTCCATCCCTTGTCCACAATGGGTTGCAAAACTTATGATAAATTAATGCATACATACATAAGGTTAAGAGCATGAGTTGAAACCTGCATGCTTATGACATTTGCATTCTTTTTGCATGGCAATATAAGTCAATACCAAAACAAGCACTTCAAAATACCCTTACACCTTTTTAACATTCTGGCAAGTGAAATAAACCTTCAGCAAGAATTCAAACAGTTTCTAGTTTCATACAAATTTACACAGATACAGTGTTATAATATTGAGTGCCTTTTCCACACTTTCTATATCAGGGGTCTCCAAACTTTTCTGCGCCATAGACCACTTACTGCACGGAATTTCTTTGGTGAACCACCCAAATATAAAATGAAATATATTAAGAATTTTTAATGGAATGAGAGTGAAATTTAGTCAACAGTTACACCCCCATGACTTTTAAAATGAAAATAATAGATTTAGCCATAAAAATCACATGTTTATCTGTCACATACAAAAAGGCTTTGGCTGTGAAGATGGATGCTTACCAAATTCTTTGTGGAATGTGTGTAGGAAACTCAGGTCTAGGCACTTTATGTAGATGTCAGCTTCAAATGCACACTCATAACAAAAAGTGATGTTAAGACAAAGCTGAAATACCTGTCAAAGCCCACTCCTACTTGAGAAGCAACTTCTTCCTGCACTTCTTGAACTGTAGCAGAGAGTTTTGTTTCAAGTGAAATTATTCTCCTACTGTGATTCTTATCAGTAACCCTAACTCTGATAGTGGCCAAGCCCGTTTCCCTGAAACGATCCCGCTCACGAAGACGATCCAAAGCATGCCGCTGCAATTCCAGCAGAGATGCCAAACAACTGTCTGCTGAAATTCCCAATGATGAACTGTAGTTTTTTACCAGTATCTGTAATGTAATTAATGTTACAAATACAGAACACAAAAACGGATAAATTCACTTCAAGAAGCCGGCACAGATTCCATGCACCTAGTCACCATGGAAACTACAATTTTCATTAACATTCAGAATTTTCTTCCTGTTATATTACTACCAGTGCATGACTCATAAAAAAATTATGGAAAAAATCATTTATCTTTTCCTTCCAACTGTCAATTTTGAATCTGCATCTACTTCCAGCCTTTCTCCCATGCTGCTTTCCCATCCCAATATCCAAAACAGTGAACATTTTCCTCATTCCGACTCTTCCCTGCCTCTATCCTTTTTGCACCCACAATTCCTTCTCTCCTTTGTCCCACTTTCTGCCCAAATATCCTACCTAGGGCACAGGGTAGTTTGCATTATCCTGGTATCCCAGTAATAGCACATTAAGTTTTCCATAGGCATAAAACAAACTGGCTATTGTTTATACACAAATGTTTGAAATGTTTTAATTAAAAAAACAAAGAAAATTTTCACCCACAGTATTCTTGTATTGTAAGACAGTGGTCAGTCCCACAGGACTTCATATTTCTTCACCTGAACGGAATTGACAGTAAAGCTATCCCTGTACCAGGCCGTGAAGGCCCATAGGGTTGTGAGACGTCGAGTCTCCCACATTATCTAGACAATCGGCTCAGAGATGGCGGTAAGGTTGTCAGCCTTACGTGCCGACCGCGCTTTACTCCCCAGGAAAATTATTTCATTAATTCCTGGTACTCATTTCTGTTAGAAGCTGACAGTAGTTGAGGGTAACTATGCAGATACACAACTTATAGGCCTAAGCCTAGTCAAGCAGACAAGATGCACAAAGCTGAAGTTTACTGATGACCAACTAAATGACAGAACATGAAGATCAAAGTATCGCTCCATACAGCAGAGGTGGTAAGACTTGAGAAAACACAGTTTCACCCAAATGACATTACAAGCAATGTAAGTTTAAAGCAAGTATCCCAAGTCTCACAAAATTCACTAGAACCTTCTGAATACACAGAAACTACCGTGACTTATGACCATCATTCTATGAAAGGTTCTGGTCCAAACAGCACTCAGTCTGAGCTATACCTCCTCTGCTTGTTTGCATAAGATACCAATAATATACTGTTTAATGTAGGCGCATTACCAAGTAATAGATGTGTAACCAGGAAAAGTACAACAGCTGTTGCTAGGAAACAGCTCTGTGGTCATGTTTCCCTTGCAACGAGAAAACAAACAATAATGGAAGAGTCAGTTGACTCTGGTAGCTGAGGGTGGGGGCAGTTCAAGAACCCAGAGGGTGGGGAATGTCAGTCACTGGAAGCTGGTACCAAGCAATGACCAGTGAAGTTTGAGAAGACTGTGTATACTGCAGTGTGTAACTCAGTGAGACTGGCATAATTATTTGTAGATGTGAGTGTAAGGGTCCAATAAGTCCTGTTACCAATGCAAATCTGGTCTCTAGTCACACTCAAATACGTGAAAATATCACAAGTAAATTTGCCAAAGACTTACTGGCTGTGTTGACTCGACAGTAAACAAGATAATGCATGTTAGTTATACTAAAGTATTAACCATATGTGACTACATATGCCCCCCCCCACTGTCATTAATTAGTAATATTACAAATTACATAATTACAGCTTATAACACAGTTAATAAGGCTCCACCAGTTGGCCTGAGCATTTGGATATGCATCTGTATTTTATTTTTTGTATTCTTCTTCCAGGTTTTTGGAAGGGGCTCCCACAGTAACAGGAAATTTGTGGAAGCCAGTATTGAACCATAACCCTTCCCACTTATATTATGAAAAAATCAGTACCATTCTGAAAAATATACACAAATATCCAAAGAGTTCAAGGGTTTGTTTCAAGTCCAGGTTTGAATATTTTATCAAGGTAACACTCACTCACTCATGGAGCTGAGCCCTTCTTGATAAGCTGACAATTGTGCATATACTCAAGAACTTCCCAATATTTTATGGAACCCAAAGGCCCATTACATGACTTGTCTTGTCATGGACTATTTCTATATCCACTGGTTTTCTGGCCGTGTAAGGATCCATGGAACATAAATGAATGAATGAATATTACTCAATCAGCACTATTGAGTACATCATACATAAAAAGTAGGTGTAACATATACATTTCTGACCTGTCTACCTGTCTTATCTGCTTGAAACTGTATTTTATTTACAGCTGTCAGACCTAACAAAACCCTTTATCCCATACCCAGTTTGTCAGATATCAAATTAAAATAGTAAACATTTATGTTCACAGTGCAGGAATTTAGCCTAAAAGTCGCATAAAATGGCAATATATTTCCTACACATAAATACCAGTAGCTTTGTAATGGAACTGATACAATCTATAAATTAACTACCTAAGTAACTCTGTGGAGCTAAGTTCTTCCTGAAAAGCCACCAGCAGCTCAGCTATTCAAGAATTTCCCAACATTTTATGGAACCCAAATGTCATTACCACATTCACAAAAGAACTCTCCGTTGGTCCCTATTCTCAGCTGGTCAATTCAGTTCATACCACCCCTTCCTACTTAACCATGTAATTACAATCCATCGGAGCCATTGGTTACATGAGAAATATTAAAACAAAATCCCTTTTTCCACCAAAAGGGCTATCTGTGCAAGGGAATGTTATGCCCAACAAGAAGCGATTTATGGTGATTAACAATCACTGCAATCAGAAGGTAGAGTGAAATATCTGTTTCTATTAATATAACGCATTCGCATTACCTGAGAATTGGCGGAAACTTTGAGTAGCTGGACGGGGGAACAGGGGCTTTACAGAAGGCAAAATACTGGAATGAGAACAAACGTTCTTCCTGCCCTTCTACCTCATGGATCTGAATAGAGCATATAAATAGAAAAAAGTCAATGTGTGCAGTTTCTACTTAGAACATTCAATTCAGTATACTAAAATGTGCCGACATTTTACAACCTTGTGCAATCATAGCAAGCAGCATCAACCTAACCTGCATTTCCTCTTCACACGTTACACCATCTTCCGTACAATACGGAGATTGCCACAATTTTACGCGCTCTTCGTTTAATTTTTCTCTGATCTGTATACGGATTCCTTCAGTTTTCAAATCACTATCCATGCTTCACGTGGCCTTCCCAAAAACTACTAGTTGTACTAAACACAACACAAAAACCTACAACAAAACTTTCTACCTTTCGCTCATTCCCACTCCCTCCGCTGGCTTCGCTGCAATCGTTGCAATGACTGGTACAGCTTGTTTACATGACTGGCCAAAGTAATGGTGTTTGGTCCTGTTTCTGTTATTTTATTTCAATGATCTTCATTGATTTCTGCTTAATTATTCCCCAGTAGTGTTTTGCACTGTTTATAATGCACAGAACTGTTAGGCTTATTTTGGACTCTATCCATCGTCTGATATTGTATAAAAGACAAAAAAAACAAAACGTTTCGGAGACTGGATCTGTCTCCGTCCTCAGGTGGATATAATGTCTGTATAAAATTAATAATATTTCTTGCTGTTTTTGCATTAGTAATTATGGTTGCGAAATTGACAGCAGCACTTTCAGCTGGGTTAGCTTGAGGTAGTTCTATTGTTCTTTCATTATTGTTGATGCAGTCCAGTGGCCTGTGTTGTGTATTATCCGTAATACCACATTCACATAGGCGTGTATTACACTTTCAGTTTATGTATAGCAGATGATTACCATGCCCTTTTCCTGTTCCGAGTTACTATTATGGACTTAACAGTTGATTGGAGGCGGGTTGTATATATTGTATCACGGTTTTGATGGCATATATGTTTGAACTTCTATTTGATGATTGTTAGGTGTTCATAGATTTTGTTTACTTTGCCATTCCTTCGTTATGTGCACTTTGGTAACATATCGACTAATACCACCTTTGAATCAATGTACTGCGGATAGGTATCTTCGCGCCAAATTCGACATCAGCCAATAGGATTGGGTTTACGTAGTGTTACTGCTCATGGGCAGCACAACTCGGAAGTGACGTTTCAATGACGACATTTGTTATCGGCGGGAAGGGGGGAGATAATGGGACAGGTGATGCGTGCTGCGCGGTGCGGCAAGTTGTTAAGTAAATTAGTGGTGACGTGTGTCACGTGATACAATCATGTATGTGCGCAGAATCAGAGAAGTCGTGGCGGTCTCGGTGAGGTGGCAAGCGCTAGCAGGCGTAACAAGTGGGTGATATATTTCACGGGAAGTCCCTAATCCAAGGCTGTAACTAGGTTGTTGTGCACGCAAAAGTTTGTGGCTGAAGTTAGAAAGTAAGTATGTGCTTTTTACAAATGTTATTCAATATTGAAATAAAATAGTTTGTTTTCATTCATTCACATTCCATAAAATCCTTACAAGGTTGAAAAAACCAATAGATATAGAAATCGTCCAGAAATATAAACTCATCATGCTTAGAAATCAAGCAGTTGTCAAAATAACAAGTTAATAGTATACAAGATATAAATCACACATAAAAATTTATCTTGAAAATAATAAGTAAGACATTGACAATTTTAAGATAAATTATTTAAAAGTCGAATAAAATTAGTCGTATTACAGTAACCAGTTTACAATATAAGATAAAAGTAATAATGAATACAAATAATAATATTTACAACTTTAAAACTGTATAATCAAATAAGATATGTTATAACAGATAATTGAAGTTACTTACAAGAAAGCTTAGTCAACTAACATACTGGTTAAAATTTCAATATAATATAATTATACAAGCATTATCTCATAAAAATTCTTCCAATGTATAACAAGAATTAAAATACAAAAATTCCATTAACTTGCCCTTAAACCTTTCTATATCATTAGAAATTTTCTTAAGTGCATCAGGAAGTGCACTGTATATTTTAACAGTCATATGATACACCCCATTTCCCTATATTGCCAAATTAACCTGGGTCATATGTATATCCTTAATGTGTCTAGTATTTATTTCATAGTGAGCTTTGTATAAAAAATTCTTCTGTTTTTTTACTACAAACATCATTAAGGTGGGTATATATTGTGTTCTTAAAGGAAATATATTCATATCCTTAAAATGTCCTCTACATGAATCTCTCGAGCCACATCCTTTCATTATTCTTACAGCTCTCTTTTGCAACTTAAAAACTATTTCGGCATAAGACGAGTTACCCCAAAACATTATATCGTATGACATGACAGAATGGAAATATGAAAAATAAACGCTTTTTAATCTTCTCTTGGAGACCATTTGTCTTACATTTCTTATCATATAGCAGGCCATACTGAATTTTTTACTTATGTCTTGTATATGACCATCCCAAGTTATGTCATTTTGGATAGTCAGGCCAAGAAATTTTGTGTAATTTGCGCATGATAATAGTAGTGCCAAGATCTCCCATATCTCTATCACACCTAATTTTTGCATTGAAATTTATATAATATGTTTTTATTATATCAAGAGACATTAAATTCTTTTTGAACCAATCATCCAATATCCTGAATACTTCATTTGTGGTGGTTTTGAATACACAGGCATCATCAGCAAAAAGTATGGGCACACTCATCACTTCAATATTTTTGGTAAGTCATTTATATAAATTATGAACAGCAATGGTCCCAATATGGATCCTTGGGGGACACCGTTGGTTATTTTAGCCCATTTTGAGTTTACTTTCCTACTATCTAGTCTGTTGATAATCCAGTTCTCTGTTTTCTGAGAAACTCGAGAAACATTTTCAACCAGTTGTAACACACCAGAGCACAGCAGGATATAGAAACTAGACAACAGAAACCATCTGCAGGAGTTGCATTAAAAATTTAAGTAAATATACAAGAGTATGCACGAGACCTTGCACCTATGGCTATGCATAAATTTTTATGAGAAAACTGTTTAGTAAGTGATAATCTTTAAGGGTAGGGCATAAATGAGAGGAAGGTATGAAATGAATATTCATGAATTATGAATATTATTAACCACTGTTTAAAAGAGGGAAAACTCATAATATGTCCAACTATAGACCTACATATATCATTATTAACTTCAAAAACTCGTATATGCGAGACTTATTACTCATATTGAAGGAAATAATCTGTTGGTACACGAACAGTATGGTTTTAGTACACACACTCGACTTAGAAGGCAGCTTTTACATTGCTAAATTATATTTTAACTGCGATGAATAATAAGTTAATTGTGGGAGGCATTTTTTGTGATTTACACAAGGCGTTTGATTGTGTTAACCATAAAATATTATTGGATAAATTGGAATTCTATGGAATTGAGCGAAAATTCAAAACACTTGTAGGATCTTATTTGACAGATGGATATCAAAGAGTTATATTGGGTAATAGAATTGACAGTAACAACTCATCCAAATGGGAAACAAACAGATGCGGTGTTCCACAGGGCTCGATTCTTGGACCAATGTTTTTTCTCCTTTATATTAATGATTTACCTAAAATAATAAATAAAAATCATAACATGGTATTATTTGCAGATGACTCCAGTATTATAGTAACCAAAACTAATAAGTCAAACTTTGAAATAAATCATAATCAAACTTTCAGAGATATAAATACATTGTTTAATGCTAATTTGCATACGTTGAATTTTAATAAGACTCAATATGTCAAGTTTCGACCTATGAATTATTGTAATATCACCACTCAAATTAACTATGATCAGATAAATTTAACAAATGTGACTGAGACAAAATTTCTGGGATTAATTATTGATGATACTCTTGTTGAAATGGCATATTGATTATGTCATTATTAAAATTTCCATTGCATGTTATGCATTGAGAAATATAAAATATATTGTCCCTTTAGATAAGTTAAAGCTAATTTATTTTGCTCATATACATTCTATCATAAGTTATGGTATTTTTTGGGGGGTGGCTCTTCTTGTGTTAACAAAGTTTTTATATTGCAGAAGAAAGTTATTAGAATTGTAACGAATTCTAGACCAACAGAGTCTTGTAGGGGCATTTTTAAGAATTTGGAATTTATGACATTCTGCTCTCAGTACATATATTCATTACTTTTATACACAATTAATAATAAATATTTATTTAATTTTAACAATGAGATTCACAAATATAAAACTAGAGCCCTCAATAATTTATATTTACCTGCAGTGAACCTAACAAACTACAATAAAGGTAAATACATATCAGGTATTAAAGTTTTTAATCATCTTCCTCAAACAATAAAAATGTTGGCTACTGATGAGAGAAGTTTTAAATCTGCATTGAAGAAGTTTTTACATCATTCTTTTTATTCCATGAATGAATATTATCAACATAATTNAAGTTAATTGTAACGAATTCTAGACCAACAGAGTCTTGTAGGGGCATTTTTAAGAATTTGGAATTTATGACATTCTGCTCTCAGTACATATATTCATTACTTTTATACACAATTAATAATAAATATTTATTTAATTTTAACAATGAGATTCACAAATATAAAACTAGAGCCCTCAATAATTTATATTTACCTGCAGTGAACCTAACAAACTACAATAAAGGTAAATACATATCAGGTATTAAAGTTTTTAATCATCTTCCTCAAACAATAAAAATGTTGGCTACTGATGAGAGAAGTTTTAAATCTGCATTGAAGAAGTTTTTACATCATTCTTTTTATTCCATGAATGAATATTATCAACATAATTGGTCATAAGTATGTAAATTTGTAATGTATTTAATTCAGTTAATATATGTAATTTAAATAAAATTGTATTAATTCAAGTTTTATAGTAAGTTGTTTTTAAATTATGTTTATTAATTAAAATCTTATTACAGTTTGTACTTTATATTATTATTTATGTTAATCGATTAATATAAGTGATTTTGATTGTGTGACTCATGTAATGTTGTATGTGTATCTTGATATATCTATTTCAAAGGGACCATTTCCACATCCTAGGTTTGTTACCTCTATGGATATGTGAAAAATAAAGGAAATGAATGAGTTATGGATGTGAGTTACCATATGTTAATTATTAAACTCACGTTTGTGTTGCCTGTGTTCTAACATCCCAAGAATCTTATTTTGCAGTTGGAGGAGGAGATAGCCTGTGAGACACTACTGCTTTAACTGATACCATTGTTACATCTGATGATTCTGATTTTTTGGAATAATGGTGCTGAGTGCTGTTTAGAGGACCATTCCCCCTCCTACATATACACTTTGTGTTAGTCTTACAGCGACAAAGTCTCTCCATTTTTGTTTCTTCCAAAGGATCCAAATTTTCCATGTTCTTTGTGTGACATCTTTCATAAACTGTTGCTTCCATCCCGTTCTCAGTATTTCTGTAGAACTATAATGTTAATTTGGTTGCAGATATGGATGACAATATATTGAGTACAGTGATGGTCATAAAGGAGGTACTTGCTGCGATGAACAATACAGGAAAGTCAAAAGGTAAGGTATTTTATTTAAAGTTTCCACATGCCTGGGAGTCATGCCAGAAAGACATCTGAGAGAATCTAAATAAAGCTGTAATTAACATAGACCTCAGAATTAAGTGGAGATGAATGACAAGCTTCAGGCTGTAGTTTAGTAGAGGAATATGTTTCCTTGATCTTAGGATGGAAGAACACATGAGAAGAGTGCTCTTCTTCCTTGAAGATGGAGGCAGAACTTTCTCAGAAACATCCATGAACGTCTACCAGACTGCAGTATGTCATATCCCAGAAGACATTTCTTTGTAGTGACCACCTCAAATTTTTCGTGGTTACCATCTGTGGCATCGACAGTAGTGTTATATATTGGAGTCGTGTTCAGTGCATGCAGGTTTGAAAGTCTTTGAATCAAAGAAGCCAGCTACATAGTTCTCTGTTCTTACTCTTAACTCCAAAGGTGGAGAAAACACATCTCTCCAAAACAAAATTTCTGCCAGACTAATGGCACCACGTTCTAGAAGACAATGCTGAACTTAGATGCCACGATGAGAACTTCAACACACTCACAATTTAATTTTTGTTCCTATAAAATGAGGATTACCTAAGCAAAAGAAAATGGATATGAGATTTGGTACTTGGAATGTTAGAAGTATATATAGGGCAGTGGCAGAAGTAATGTCAAAATATTAGTTAGATTTAGTGGGAGTACAGGAGGTCAGATGGATGGAAGTGACACTGAACCAGCAGGAAAATATATGTTTCTCTGTGGAAAGGGAATGAGAAACATGAATTAGGTGCAGTTTTTTTTGTACATAAGAGAATCATATCAGCATTTAGGAGTGTAGAGTTCACTAGTGATAAGATGTCATACATAATATTAAGCTGTCGCTAGTGTGATATCATTGTGGTGAATTCCCATGCCCCAGCAGAAGATAAAATTGATGATATAAAGGACATGTACAAAATTAGTATTGATAATGGAGTTACTGTCAAAAATACAATGTTCCCATATTGTAACATCCATAAATTTACTTGGACATCTGGGCTGCGCCATACCTCAACCGGTTAGTCGCTGGCTTCCCACTGTGGTGGCCCGGGTTCAAACCTGGGTCTGATCAAGTGGGATTTGTGGTGGGCAGAGTGGCGCTGGGACAGATTTTCTCCAAGTACTTCGGTTTACCCTGCCAATCTTCATTCCACCAAATTCTCCATCATCATAATCATTCGGGGCAGGTACAATAGGCCAATAAATGGCTGACGTACCAAGTGGACCCAGCTGGACTTCACCCCCACTACTTGGACATCTCCTGATGGGAAGATACACAATCAAACTGATGATATTTTGGTAGACAGAAGACAGTATTCAAGTATGCTTGATGTCTGATCATTCATGGTAGCAAAGGTTAGAGAAAGGCTGGCAGTGAGTAAGCAAACACCGCACAGAGTTCATGTGGACACGTTCCATCTCAAGAAATTAAATGAGATAGAGGGTAAGGAACAGTATCATGGTGAAATCTCAACTAGGTCTTCAACTTTGGAAAACTTAGACACTGAGGTGGATGTTTAATAAAGCTTGGGGACTGTTAGAGAGAATATAAAAATTTCTGCAAAACAGAGTCTAGGTTATTATGAACTGAAGAAAGAAAAGCCATGGTTCGATGAAGGAGGCTCAGAATTATTTGACCAATGGAAACAAGCCAAATTGTAGTGGTTACAGGATCCAAGTGAAATAAATGCGGCTAATCTGAACAGATATGAAACTAGCAAGAATTTCAGGAAAAGAGGGAATATCTGAAAGACAAAACTGATGAGCTTGCAAACAGTAAGAACAACTACATTATAGAGGCCCATACAGACAAAATAAATGACTTCCAGAAGGGTTACCTATCTAAAAGGAACCCAGTGAGGGATGAGAATGGTGATCTGCTTGCAGATTCCCACAGTATTTCGAATAGGTGGAAGAACTATTTCTCCCAGTTATTGAATGGACATAAGTAACATATTTTGGAAATGTTGCACAGTTCAGATATTTGAAAATGATTGTAACAAACAAAAAAACACATTCAGGAGGAAATTAAGAAGAAACTGAATTCGAGCAGTGCTTCCTACAATTCAGTCCATAACCTTTTTCTTCTTGTCTGGTGTCTAAAAAACAGGAAACTAGAATATACAAAACTATAATTTTCCCTGTGGCTCTGTATGGGTGTGAAACATGGTCTCTGACATTAAGGGAGGAACATAGGCTGAGGGTGTTTGAGAACAGGGTGTCGAGGAGAATATTTTGACCGAAAAGTGATGAAGTGACAGGACGTTGGAGAAAACTGCATAATGAGGAGCGTCATAACTTGTACTCTTCTCCAAGTATAAATAAAATGATCAAGTCAAGGAGGATAAGATGGGCAGGGCATTTTGCACGAATGGGGAGAAGATGAATGCATGTATGATACTGGTGGGAAAGCCAGAAGGAAAGGGAGCAGTAGGAAGACCAAGATGTAGGTGGGTGGACAGTATTAAAATGGATCTTAGAGAGATAGGATGGTATGGATTGGATTGATCTGGCTCAGGGTAGGCACCAGTGGAGGGCTCTTGTGAACATGGTAATAAACTTTTGGGTTCTATAAACTGCCAGGAAGTTCTTGAGTAGCTCTGCAATTGACAACTTTTCAAGAAGGGCTCAGCCCCGTGAGTGATAAAATGAGAAATGTCTTGTTATTTTAAGTCTTTGGCTCAGTGCTTTTAGCAAGGAAATATGTTTATAATGGTTAAGGTATGGGCTCACAAACAAGAAAGTTACTTGTTCCACCTTGCTAGTATAGAATATGTTTGTGGTGGACTGATACAAGATGTTAGATTATGATCAGTGTGTGTGTGTGGTGTGTCATTTAATTCCCAGCAGTTTTGTTGAAGGCTCCCTTCTGGCCAAGCCAAGCCAAGCCAAGCCTGTCAGCACACCAGCAGTTCGTAGTATTTTACTGTAAAGACGTAGTGACAGGAAAGAACTCTATAGTGTGTATTGCAAAAGAGAATATGTTGTCTTATCATGGTGTGTTACTTCGTGACCTTAGTGTGGTATGGTTGTCTCAACAAAGTCCAGTAAATGATTAACCATGGACACAGGAGTGAAGTGTTGAGGTGACAGAACTATTGGCATTTGAATAGTTCCATCATATAGGATATAACACTTTGTAGTCTTGTAAAAGTCAGCTGACTTCAGGAGGATCTTATCACGTTCATCTTAAGGGTTAAAGTGAAGGAACAAAACAGCATGAAGCATTCCTGATATCTGTTAAGCAGCTGGAAGTGAAACAGAAGCACATGTATGTTCTTTCACTTGTTGAATCACAGTATTTTGAATGGCTGGATTTTCATGTTGTGTAAGGTAGAGAATTCTCATGATCAGGGATGTGACTAAATTCACAGGATTGGTGTCATCTTCAGATGAAATTTCAAGCAATACTGACTGAGCACCAAAAGTAATGTATTATTAACCATATAATTTTATTGTGCAGCTTAAAGATATGAACTCCATGGATAAAATGTAAATATATTTTTCATCTCATTTCAGATGATGAACGGATACGTCAGATTGTGCGCGATGTCTTGAGTGAGACTCACACCACTACTACGTCTGAGAGTGAGTAGTATGAGAAATGTTGAAAAAAGCTGTATGCTAGAAAATGTGAAGGGTTGCAGACCCAGATATACACAACCCAAATTATAATACTCCGTCTAAAATTAGATAAGGCGTAATGGTAAATAATACTAACTCCATGATGCAGTGGAAAGTTGGCACATGTTCGGCTGATCAAGAACTTCTTTATTTTTGAAAGTTCATTATCATGTTTACCAAGAAATCTATCTTGAATATAGTCCACCTAATCACACTTTATTACCTTTTCTGATCAACATTTTTTTATACATTTTTTGTTTCCCAACTATGGGCCACAAATCTTACTGATCCCATTTTTCATTTAGTACAGGCAGTGTTAGGTGATGGTTACGAGAGATCCTCATGTAATTTCCATTTTTAACTTTGAAAATGTTGTTATATCAGGGTGCAAATGGAATGAAGCCTTAAGTAAGAGAGAATGTAGCAATTTGTCCATAAATAATGGAAAATGTAACAGTTTGTGATTAGTGATACCTTCACTGCTAAATAACCGCATGTTGTTGACTATGTTACCTTGGAAATCTGCTCAGCGAAGCACTTAGATGGATTTGGACATATTGTGAGTGAAATACTCTGGCGTATTGGCTCTGTGCAGGAACTGTTGAGTCACAGAGGCCTCGGGGCACACGCACAACGTGAGAGTTGCGGATTTTATTGGCGCGTTTCTAGGCAAGAACTGTGTGAACACATGGATTGTGCAGATATATCACAATACATTATTATTAAATGCAGTCTGTTTTGGTCCATTGCTTACGGTTTAGGAGATATGACCATTTGTTTGTAAAAGAATACGGCTAATTCAGTTCCACTGCTAAGTGGATGGCACAAGACTATAGGCAGGCTACCGATATATGATGTCATGCACTGATAAGATGTCCGCTGGTATTACTGAAGCTGCATATATGAGAGAGTACAGGAAAAGGAGGCGGTTAGAAGAAAATAATTATAATAATGTACCCAAATGAACAAAGTTAAACTGTAACTGTAGCACACAAAATAAAGTCTTCGATGTCTGCTTGCTAGCCATTGATTGGTAACGAATCTTACCTCGTTAACACTTCACAGCTGAACTGCCTGCTGAAGTCTGTTATGAATGAATGAATGTAATTCACGAATGAACTCTCTTTTATAATTTTGGGAGGACCTAATATAGAAGCCACCACATTGAACAGTTTGTCTCCAGTATCTGTTGTAGTGGAGACGCCTGTTGATCCCAAGATTCCTTGTATTCACAGAAACTTGTTGAATCTTTGTTGACATGAGAATGAGTTTTAGCGAGTTGTTGCCTGGCAGACGGACTTCTGCTTGTTCATTGCTATTCCGGCTTTCAGGTGGTGTTTACCTAAATGTTGCCCAGCAAACAATGGTTGGAGCATTTGATGGATACCACCCTGTACAAACGCTACAACACAGATAAATACAACATTTTTAAATGTGGATAGGTACCCCAATCATTTTTATCTGCTTATTTCCCTTTTTTAGGGTGTACGTGTAAATATGCTCTTTCTTTTCAAACACAGTTTTTGTTGTTCTGTTTGAGTAAGGTTGAATTATGGATTACTAACACATAGGTGTTATTCCTTGTAGGGGACATGGTGAATAACATGATGCAGCTTCTACAGCAGAACGTCACCAAGCAAACAACTGAGCTGCACGCAGCTGCCGAGGAGAAAGGGCAGTATAAAGCAAAGTGTAAGACCTTTTTATGCTATGAACACTCACTTAACATGATTCATTTTGGTGAATTATAGAACAGTGGCAGAAATTTTGACTTTGTGGTTTTCATATCTATGATTATTGAAAGTACAGTCTTGTGGGTTGTAACACTGTGTAGTTAGGAGAGGGTCCACTGTTTTGTTGGAAAATATCCCCATGATTAGAGTTGAATGTAAAGTAATGATTGCGTTACATTGTGTAATATAATAATATCATCATAATTACCAAAATAATTCATGTGTTGTCTCCCAGCTTGCCACTTACTGGTGCTGGTTTCTTGCTTTGTGTACTCTTAGACCCTGAAGCACAACATCATGTTTGCTCCAAACTACCATGTGTAACCACCCAGAAAACTATGAGGGTCATTTTTAAAGTAAGAAACATTTGTGCATCCTGCATATCCAGGTCATTAACCAGAGGTTTTTGAAGCTCAAGAGCTGTCATCAGACCCTCTGCCACATCTCCAGTGTTTTCTGAGCTTTTCAGTGAATTGGTTGCTGTGTCAGTCACTAATCCCTCTGATTGTGAAGTGGGTTCAGTGATCCGTTTTTGAACACAAGAAACATTCACCCTTCTGAAATCCTTCGTCAGCTTGTCACAGTATATGGGGAAGCTGTTATGAACAAGAGGAATATCCATAAGTGGTGTCATTTGTTTAATGGGGGAAGGAAAGATATGCATAATGAAGCACAATCACTAGTGGAGTGTGCTTCATGACAACGCATGACCAGAAAAAACAACAAAGTTGTGGAAGCAGTTTGGTTGGGAAAACCTTGACCATCCCCCCTTACAGTTCTGACCTAGCACATTTGGACTTCCATCTTTTCCCCAAAATGAAAAAGTTTTGGGTGGAAAATGGATGGCAATTGATGAGAAGCAAAAGAAATGGTTACGGATTGGTTAAATGGACTGGTGGCTGATTTCTGTGACGAGGAGATCATCAAGCTTGTGCAGCACAATGCACAGGGTGTGAATGCCTGAATCACGGTGGGGACTACATAGAAAAAATAGACATATGTTGTATCTAGTAGTGACATTAAATATGTGTGGATGAATAAAGTTTTCTTTTGTTTATAACAAAACTGTTCTTTAAAAATTATTGTCCAACTAAAAACAGAAATGGTGAAATTTGTGATTCTCACAGCAGAGGAAATTGGTCATATGACACCGTGTAGTTTCATAGGTGGTTACCAGTAGTTAAGAGGAACTTGCTGCTTCAGTCTTTAGGGTAGAAAATGAAGGTTCCTCCAGAACTTCTGTCACTACCAATAAAAGTACATGCGTTATGACCCAGAAGACTGCATTTTAACAAAAACAAAACAAAAAAAAGGGGGGGGTCGTGTAAAAGTGACTTAAAGCTGTTCACATTTATTTAGTTTGATACATTTGATTTTAATGTAGGAAATAAGAATATGGCATTATTTCATGTACATTATTAGATTTTGGTGAATGTGCTGACAGGTTTTATCTTGTATCACTGTAATCTAGTGTACTGAAAACTTCATATCTTCGTGCAACAGTATAGAGTCATTACTGAGTGTCTGTACTTGATCTGTCATCTGATATTTTGAAAGGACACATTGAGGCCCATGACTTGTAATTGAGATAACTCCTTCTGACATACCCAACCTAGTGGGTGTCTCCATGTCCTTTCAGCTGGGATGGAAACAGATCGCGTTGATGAAATGTGTTCCTCCAGAATACTAGAGAAAGAACGAAATCCAGAAAGTCAGTAATCCTGAGTGTAATACACTGTTGGCAGAAACCTTCAGAATTGTCTAGTGTAAAGGAAGCTAATAACTTTGGAATCAGTCTTAAAAAATTACTTTGACGCACTTCCTGTGCATGACTACAATGGAGATGCTGTTATTTCGCATTTGAAATATCCCAAATTTATCTTACAGTGACATCAAACATCTAACCATTTCAAGGACCTACATGAACACTTAGAAATGCTGTGTGTATCTTGTATATTTATTTAATACTTGTTGCATAGTTGAAACATTCTTCTGCGTGTAGGATGTGATGTCCTCACAGCGTGTGAAGATGTGTATCTCCTGGGATATAGCACCATATAATCCGTTGAAAATCGGCCACTGTTTCAGAGGAACATGTTGCTTCCAATCTCTGCTTGCTACCTGCTTCAGGGTGGTTGGTTGCTTGGCTTATTCCTCATCTCCCAAAGATGGAGACATGTTCCTCCAAAATGTTGATTGACTTTCAACTGGCTACACAGTAATATATCTCAGAAGATAGAAACCTTCGTTCCTCATTCATTTTCATAAAATTTCTTTTCAGTAATATTTACTGGCATTTGCTTTACATTTCATTCTTTCATACTGAAAATGTAAATTCATGTAATTACCATGCAAAATAAGGACATACCATAGTTCAGATAGGTAGTTACCGGTCTCTCATTACAAGGGTCTGGGTTCAATCACAGATCAGTCAGTGTTATACATTTGTGAACAGAATGGCACTGACTTAGAAATGAAATATGATATGAATAAAACTTAAAGTCTCATCAAGAGGGATCAGCTAATCTAAATGAGATTACGCCTACTACTATTGATACTACTACATCAGTGTGAATAATAATTGAAATAACAACCATGTTTTCAGACAGGTGGAAAGTGTAGTTATGTGTAATTGCTTTTATTTCAGTGGATGAATTAAATCATCGCATGGATCAGCTGATGAAGGATCGGGGTTCTCAGGTTTCAGGAGGCAAGTTACGAGTTTTACGTGCCCTGCATTCTGTCCCAACAGAATGAATTGAATGATAACTTAGCAATTTTAACTTGGCTCCAACAAAAAGCAGGTTTCTAAAAGAATAACCCCACAGTTACCAAATGATAACACCCTTGTGGCAGGGATGTGCATGTGTGATTTCTAAATCACGTGGCTGCCTTAAAAAAACTTGGTATGAAGGTTGTACTACCAAATGTATTTTCAGAACACTGACCAGCATGGCACCCACAGACTCGTTAAGAGATATTTGTATGTGTTTATGTGGTATGTATAATAATAATAAAAACAGTATATAGCTAATTCGGTATTGTGATTAGTTATGGGCTGGATGACTGGGGTTTGATTCCTTGCAGTGGTGAGAGATTTTTCTCTTCTGTAATCATCAAACTTAGAAGCTAAGTTGTTTTTCAAATTGTGTAACATATCAATAACTTTTAAAACTGTGATTGTCTGATCCTGTACTTTTTTAACTACTGCATGAAAAATTGATGATTCTGCACAAAGTTTAGCCAATTATCTGGCATAGGGTTTTCAGGAAACACCTTGATTATAGATGGATGCTTATCTTGACATTCAGAAAAGCATTTCAGAGGCAAATACATGTTTAGAAGCTGTTCAACAGTAGGGAGTAGGGCAAGCCATCTTGTTTTACTGTAACCAAAGATTTTTCTATACTCTTGGTTTGTACACTCAAAATTCTTTCTGGTATTCAAGTCTGATGGTGTGCAAGTAAAAATAGGAATAGATTTTCAAAATGATGCCTTCAGTATCAACAGTAAGCACATCAGTTGATTTTTGAATAGTTCTATGAATAATGTGTACAATGTTGACACCTTAAGCCTTTCCAAAATATCAGTTGGTATTATCAGCACAGACAGACAATTTTATCTGTTCTGTTTATACTGCTCAGAGAGTTCATTGAAAGTTCACTTACACAGTTTCTGGACTCTCCAGGCCGACTGTTCCAGCACATTAATTTGACTCCCATTTGAAGGCTCAACGTATCTGATGAGTACTGGAAAATTATTGTATTTTTATGGTTTGATGCATCAAGAATAACTGAAATGAAATTAGCTTTTTGTTATGTTGGACTGAAGTTCAGAGGGTGTGAAGGTTGTTAACATGTTTAAAACAGTCGTCTCTGATTTAGTGTGAGCACAAGTAAATTTTGGCTTGAGGACACACTGAATCAATGTAGAGGTACAGCCCATGGATCTGAAAGATTGATCGTGTTGCGCTATGTAGTATACGAATGTTCCCATAATAGGTGCTAACTTCAGTTCCTTTAAACCTTCACTTAAAATTAATATAGAACTGGATGTGCTGATTCTCAAGGTCCTATGAGTATTGATTCTTAGATGATTTTTAACACTTTGGGGACCGGCAATTTAAATATTTAAATCACCCTGCGGACCGGCATTTTTATACCTACTACCCTAACTTGTTCACTGTTCACTTTAAAAATTAATACAAATCTCGTAATTAATTTTATGAACTAAATTTTTTTGAGAATACTTACCAATGCTTCTAGAAGTGCTTGAGGGTGTGATATTTCTCTAACCTTCCTCTCTGTGAAGTGGCATTACATAAAACTTGCAAATGTAGGCAGTCCTACTCCTTTTCTTGTGAATTGCGCAAACACGGCATTGCCTAGAAGGCTGCTTCCCCTTGAAATGTTCACTCTTCACAATTTTCGTGAGGGTATGTTTCCGCATATCACCTGAGAGTCGCCCAGGGGGGTCAGAATGAGGCCTGCATGGGGTGGGAGTAGACAGCCCCGGTCATACTAAGACTGTGTCTGCTGCCGGTTCTGCTGCCACTGTGTCGTCTGTAGCCCAGGCTTTTGCCACATTCAGCAGAAATGCCTTGTATTTCAATTTTTTTTTAGGGTTTAGATTTTTGAAAACCAAAAATGAATTGAAAATGGCAGAATTTATAAGCCACAAGGCAACTTTCTTTGTCCACTTTACTGTTTTCCGAGGAAGAGAATAATAGGCCAAGTACTGATCGGCTCTATCAACTCCCTTCATGAACATATTATACTCGGAAATACAAACAGGCTTCTTTACCTGTCCATGTCTCCTTTGGACATCAACCATGCTCGAATTGTGAATTGTGGAAATCATATTCACAACACGAGTATCCCTCCAGGACTGAAGAAGAATATCCCCCTTCCTCCTGAATGTGGTTTCACCATGTTTCAGGGATTTACATTCCTCTTTCAGATCTGGAGGAAGGCCTCTGTTCACCCTAATTGTTCCACAAACACGTACTTTTCTCAAAAATAGGGGTTCTGCAGTTGCCACACTGTTATACTAATTGTCTTGATAGACATGGCAGTTTTGATCAAGACAGAGTTCCAAAACAGAAAGAATAGTTTCTTGTAATTTCTTTCCTTCACCAGAATAAATTTCTAAATTTCCAATATAGCCCGAAGTGCTTTCAGTAACTACATGAGCAAGTAGGCCATACTTTGTAAGTTTCCCAGGATTATATGTTCGCATACGAAGCCTTCCCCTCCAAGGAATCACAGATTCGTCCAAAGACAGTTTTTGATTTGGCTTATAAACTGTCTGAAATTTCTGAACAAAATAGTTCAATAAGGGCTGAATTTTGAAAAGCCTGCTTGTTGATTGTAATTGCAGTTCATTATCACTGAAATGCAAACACCACCAAATTTGCTGAAATCTCTTATGGCTCATTAGTTTGCCGAAAATTGGAATTTCTAAAATGGATCTGTTAACCAATACTCTTTCAGATTATCCTTCCTTGTATGGCCCATTAGAAAAATAATAGCAAAAAATTTTCTCATTTCTGCTGAAGTGACATCCACCCACTTCAATGCCTTATAACTTCTGTCATAATGTTCACGGTGTTGGAGATAGGATCTGTTAGTCTCCTGACATAACATGTCAAAGAAACTATCTCCAAAAAACAGTTCCACTACTTCAGACACTTGTGTTGGGTCCGATGGAATTTGCTTTGCCCCTGGATTTCTAGTAAACTGTCCCAAAGCAGGCGTTTTGTCTACTTTTCCCCATGTGGCTGTCCCCGCAATGTTGCTACCCGCACATTCGTTGGAGCTATGGTCACTTTCACTTTCACTTTCTGTGGTCACAATTTTTTGTTCGCCCCTGCCACACTCACTATCAGATTGTGAGTCGCTGTCACTAGCAGACTCACAAGGGACGTCAGATAGCTCATCGGAGAAGAAGTCAGATATTTCTTGTTCTCCAAGAAATCGCTTGGGTGTCAACCGCTTTGGTCTTTGATCCATATTGAACTACTGACTGACAGCTTGCTACGTAAAGCTTGAAGAAATAAAGGCATTTATTTTCCTTTGCAGGGGCATAGAGTTACAGCGAGGTCTAGTAACTGATTGGTCAGCAGACATTCTAGAGCCTTATAATGCAGCTGCAAGCAGCTATGTGCTAGCTAGGTGGAGCCAGAGAGATGTATAGTGTGTTGCAACTTACCGTGTTTTAAAAACCTGTTTACACGCGAACAGTCCGCCATGTTTAAAAGCGAAAAACCTTTTAAAGGGTGCGCGGTCCGCAAAGTGTTAATATCAGAATTCCCCCCACCCCAGTCACTAACGTTGAAACAAGAGGAACACATATTGCACCGAATATGTGAGTCAAAAACAGTTTTTCAGTGAATGGATATTCAGCTTGAAGATCTGCACTAAATATGCACTTACATTACTTGCCCTAAACAAGACACGAGTCATTCCCGCGCAAACTGCAGAATGATTGGAAGCAGCGTTCAATTTCTTTATACACAACAATGTGCCATTGTAAAATGAAATGGCTTGTAACTGGATGAACTTAATTCTTTGTTGTCAATTCCTCACATTTTTTCCACACAAATATGTATTTACATTATTTCATACATAAATGTAAAAAATTGAAAAGAAAGTTAGGCCTGCACTTTGAAAAACAATACTGTTGTGTCAAAGCAAAAAGCCAGTACATTTTAGCATCCCGGTTGACATCCGAAAAACACTGGACAGTGGTAAAAAAAGAGCCACCTTGGCTAAATCAAGATGGAGTTTGGATTGGTAATTGAATTTATTGAACACTTATAACTCGTAACTACAGCAGTTTAATGAATCTTTGCACTTTAAAAATAACTGTACTGCAACACATATAAGTGATATGTGTCTTTGCCAGTAATTGCCTGGTAATGGCTGCTAACAATAGATACTCATCTGCTTTGATGCTAATATCCTACTTGGATGGTTGTCACTGTATAGCCTTGACCACACTGTATAAAAAAATCTGTTTCCAACAGTGTCTTTGATTGTTGCTTGCAAATCCAATGCCACAGAAACATGTTCATCAAGCCATTACCACGCAGCAGACAGTGAAATCATGTTTTTGTAGAGCTGTTTGTAGATTTTACAAGAGGTAGAAATTCTGTTTTTCTCTGCAGGAGAAGCATCAGGATTTACAGGCAGACAGAAGAGGCTTCTTGAAATGTTAGAGGAACTGAAGATTATGCGTGGAACTAAACGGTAAGAATGTTTGCATATCATTCTTAAACTGTTTGCAGCGATTCTGATCTGCAGATCTTGTTCTTTCTAATGAAAATGTTGATAATTTTCAGTTAAGTAATTATGAGAAAAGATTTGTAATGTTTGCAAATTTTGTGCACGAAGGTTCACACAGTTCATATGCATCTAGTGCCAAGGCATGCACTCTGGGACAAGCTGCATCTGTGCCATTGGTACTGGAGCAATGTTAGAAATACTGTGGATGGTGGTCTACTGGAGACACTACTGAGAATCAGTTACAGAATGTTGGATTTGAGGTTCCCATAGGGGTGACTGTGAAGCATACTGTCTTCTGAGATTGGGTGCTTTGTAGTCAGCAGGAGTTAATCAACATGTTGGAGGAACATGCCTCCTTGCTGGCTTCATGTTTGTCTTACTCTTAAACTCTGAAGATAGAGACAGTATTTATCTCCAAAATGTTGGAGAACTTCTACCCCAGTCTATGTGGCATTACAGCCCAAGTGTTCAGCATTAATGCAAATTTTGGCTAATGTCATGAATGGTTGTTATTTTAGCAGGCAGATCGGTGGAGGCTGTGGTGACACACACGTACATGTACTTTATAATATGGTACCCATTAATAAGATTAACTTTTAATGCCTGTGAATAGGGGATTTCAATATCCCACTACTATGGTCCTGGCTGTTGGATTTTAGCTTGGAGGTAATGACAGGTAGGTATATTGTATATAGTGTGATGCTGTTCCTGCTGAATCCATGCACGCTCCATCACACTTGTGTGACTCACAACAGTGAAGGTTAATTATGGTCTGTATTGTGTCTGTAGGCAGTATGGGCAGTATGTACAAGTATATGATGTGATCAGAAAAATTCTAGACTAACTGCATAGGGACACTAGTGTTGCCAGTAAGGAGTTTTTGTACTAGATGCTGGTAGAATACAGCGTGCTGATTATTTTACATTCTCAAAACAATAAGGAGCTAACAGAGTGCTGGACTCTGGGCTGAACATTCAGGCTTCAGTTCCCTAGCAGGGACGAGAGATTTGTCTCTGTAGTGTCCTTAATGTGTCTATGGTCCTTTCAGCCTCTAATCTTTTTGGAACAGGGCTTTTTATCCTGGAGTGAAGCTGATCACTCACTCTTTGCTGAGGTCAGGAATGAAGGGACTGTACAACCATTTACCTGTACATCTTTTATGGCCTGGTGCTTAATTAATTAAGCACGGGGACAACTTTACCTTAAAAATCATAAGATGTATCATTGAGACGTGATGAATCATAAAGTATGATTATATAGTATTATCCACAGTTTTTGTTCCAAAAAATTATGGACTTGAAGAACAGAGTCTCAGCATAATATTTCCTGTCATACCAGAAAAATAGCATGTTCAAATTTTGTTCTGGAGAGTGAGTGAGGTGTAAAACCGAAAGATTTGAATACTTTCTGAAGTTGGAATTTGGAATGATTACACTTTAAGAACATGGGGGTATAAACAGATTTTAAAATTGTATAAGCCATGTACTCTTGGTTCTCTGAAACTATCATATCAGCCATATGCAAAAAGAGGTTACCATTCTCATTCTGTACCAAAGTTACCTAGATTATGTTTATGCTTTTCCATTTTACATTGGTATTAAAGAATCGGACCTTTTTTTTTCCAATTTGAAGTTTGTGAGACCTTTCCTGATGTATCTAAAAGTATTAACTGGTAGTGAAGTTAGATATCGTGCTTTCAGAATTCAAGAAGGAAAACCAGGAAAGCCATCCAACAGAGGAGGAGGTAAAGGAGGCAGTCATGGTGGTAGTAGTCACAGGTATGTCAAGTTATGATTTATGGGAAAATACATGATTTAGCAACAGCATTTTGGGAAAGGAAAACTAGAAGCAAACCATCATAAAGAAGCTATCACACTGTAAATATCTCAGAAAGTGCATACTAAACAGTCTGAGTGGAGACATTGTTCCATTGTATTAGCACTGGAAATTTGATTCTTGGGGCTGTAGGTTTGATTTGTGCTAATTTGATATATATTTAATTATTTCATGCCCCTTCACACTTTTCATTAATTCCCTTGAACATGCTCTGTTCCATTCACTTCCTTCTTGCAGCACTGTGTTCGTGCATGCTATGAAACTGAGTATCAGGTGCTGTGTTTCTGAGGTTCCAGAATATTGTGAAAAGTTTTCCATATACTTAGAGCACAAAGTTTAATTTGTTGGAATAATTAGTGAAGTAACGTGTTGAAGGAAAACATAAAATGTAGTTGTGCTAACTAGGCTGCTACTATGTTACTTCATAAAAATAATTTTAAATCCCAAACTCATGGAAGCGTTTAATGTTAATGTCGGCCACTGCACTGTCCACGGTGGGTGGAAATTCCTTCCACAAGGTATTCCTGGTACACACGTGACACCGTGGATTGAGGAATGTTGAATGACGAATGACCGCACAACTTCGGAAATGGAATGTACCATTTGCCTGACACCCACTATCATGCCCCATTCAAACTCCGATAATTCACGTCGGCTTGCTATGAGCAGACTGGCCAGTGTTCAACCTGACTCACAAGAGAACACCTCACAACTGATACTGCTCTGGGCATTCCCAAGCCGTCAAGGGATGGTGGCGCCACTTAAAAATAAATCAACATACTGCTATCCCATGACTTTTGGCACTTGAGTGTATAGAGGAAAGCATTCATATAACCAGTACCAAGGAAAGGCAGAACATTTTGAGACAGCTGACCATGATTTCAAATCAGGGGGCTTCCAAAGGAAATTCTTTCATCAAGACAAGTTGCAGAAAGGTCCCATGAGATTTCAGAAGTTCCCACAGTACAGTGAAGGAGGTGGGGATAAGATTTTGATCCATGTTCCAGGAGCAAGGTTGCTGGGAATGATCATAGCTCCCAGGACAGGCGCAGGCAAGGTGATAGTGGTCCTGAATTTGGCCACAGGGCTGGAGAGCAAAACATGAGGATGCAACATCAAAGCCCCCAGGGGGGTTTCTCTCAAAAGCAACCTCACGGTCAGTTTCACCAAAATGATCAGCAGTTCCAGCATCGTGGGCAAGGCCAAGGAAGGTATGTGTAAGTAGATACTATAGGGTTCTGACGACTGTGTATAACACACAGAGATACTGGGTTTTTGGACTTCGTCCATCGTCCGGATTCTAAATAACTGAAAAAAGAAAAAAGACAGCATTTCAGAAACTGAATCTGTTTTTGTCCTCAGGTGAGGAAAGACACCTCAATCACCCGACCTTTATTTTTAATGCAACGAAACCAAACTAATAACCAAGTCCATGAATCCCAAAGCATGGAATAGAAAGGACAACTAGTGAAAACTAATAGTGTCTACTACTAGCGTCATCAATGGAGTAAATCGCGCTTATCTATTTAGAATCCGGATTATGGACAAAGTCCAAAAACGCGGTATCTCTGAAGATATGTATAATTTGGTTTGTATTCAAAGTTCCATACCTGCCTGTACCGAGGCCTACAGCAGAGTTCACAGTGTGAAAGTCTTGTCAGTTTGATGCTGAAAGGGGTTCTTTTCTTTCTCTTGTAAATTCTGAACTACTACTATAATCACCCAGCTTCAGATATGGCTAACATCTTGTACATTATCCATCATCCTAAGTTTTCCCATATCATTTGCTTTGGAAATTGGATCTCATTATGTCATCAGATGTTGACAGTGGAAAGGGTTTCCTGTCCGTTTAGTCTAGTGATGGGAACAGGTCATCATCATTTCATGGATTGGGTGAATTGCCTGTTCTGGCTTCTAATATTATGTCTCCTGTCTTCTTCTAAGCCTTCCTCTAGCATGCCTACTTGGTGGACAGTATTTGTAGGCTTGAAGTTGAAACAGAGAACTGGAGATACCATGTACAGTGCATGACTGAAAATAAAATTCCCAGACAGATGATGGACTGTAAACTTCAGGGACTAAAAAGCTATGGATGACCCAGAAAAGTAGAAAGCCAAACGTCAGGAACCACAACGAGCCTTGGGGCATAATGCTTGAGGGAGGAAGGGGAAGAAGGAGGCGGTGGTGACAGAGGTGGCACAGGTGAAGTTTTCAGAATGTTGTTTGGAAAAGCATATGACAGGAACAGTGTCCTGTATACAAATCATGATTATTGCCATATACCATCATCCTTTTGATTCTGTTACAGTTTTTGAGAGGATTGGTTATGGAATGAGCAGCTGTTGTTGGGTTGGGATTATTGTTTTGGCTCTGGAACTCATCCAGCCTCCTATCCAAGGGTATTGCATTAGAGTTTGCAGAATGTGATGCTAACACTAACTTTAACATATTACTTATGTCAAGAAAGCCCCAATTCTCCTATTCACTTTAATGTTACACACATACAAGTGATATCTTCCCTTCACTTTTCCAACTAAAATTTCTGTGCTTTTCTCTTCCCTTGTATGTGTAATATGTGACCCACATTTCTGAGTTTTTTTTTTTTTTTATTTCCATAACAGCATTGATGAAGAATACAAATTATGCAGCTCCTCATTATGCACTCTCATTAGGTTCAAATAGTGTATGCACCATCCTGTTCTGACAATCTATGTTATTCTCTTATGGGTGAGAGACCAAGTTTACACCCATTTGAAAACTGTAAAATTCAAGCTGTCTGTATTTCAATAAAGGATTCTGAACTGAATAGTAACATTTATGCCATGAGTTCAACCTGCTGTTAATTTCTCCATTAATAATGTAAAACTAGTGGTATGTAATAATGTAGCACTGTGCAGTTCCTTGTGGACAAAATGACACTGGTAAATTTTTCTGTGTGTACTTTGCTTTTCCTTTGCCATCCTTTCGGCTGCTGAAAATTTCTTAAAATTTTGTTTACTAGTAACAAAATTCATTACAGTGGGTTTACCTAGCAAACTGTCTGGGAGTGCATTTTGTGAACTTTTAAGTGCAGATATGTAAATAATCAAGAGTACTAAGATATCAGTTCACAATATTTACAGTGATCCACGTAGTCCTAAGGAACAGAACCAGTTCACTCCTGAGGAATTACATGCAATCAGAGCACTGCTAAAGCAGCCGCAACAGCACCAAGATAAGTAAGTTAATCAGAATGTTACCGTATGTTATGTCTAATGAGAATTACTGGTTTTGGAGCACTGTTTTTATTTTAAAATTAAGTGCTGTTACCTTGCTGCCCGTGGAAAGGCTTACTGCATAAAATAAAACGTTGGGCACATTTCAGTATTTGAGAAACATAAATTTTTGTTTTCCCTAGTGGTTTTCACATTTCACCCCACAGGCCAGATTATCCTTGCCTACACATGGTCCCACCAGTTTTACCTTCCACCTGTGGTAGTGTATAAGGTTTCATGAAAAGATTCAGGAACTGATTTTTCAGGAGTGAAACTAAACTCAAAACTGTAATCATATGTATCTCTTTCATAGTATGTTCAACCTACAGTACTTGAACATGGTATCATAGCTATCTTGCCTTTGTTGACACATTCCCAGTACTTTTCTGAGAGGATTTTGGATTCCTGTGTCACACTTCAAATAATTGTTAACAATTCCACAAATGTCTTCCATTTAGGATACATTTCAATCTGTGAATCACCAAAAGATCACCATGTTTCAAATATGAAGTGTGCAGAACCATGAGATGCTCATTCCTGATGAAGAGTTTCTGTAATGTGTTACAAGTTCTGGCATAGATACATAAATTGTCATCCTAACATCTTCATAAAATTTGTATTGAAAGTAACGACTGATTTCGTGATTGTAAAGGGGTGACTGAACTGTGCATCAGCCTTGTACAGAAGTTTGGATGTATTTTACATACATAAGTCCCAACAGCTGAGAGTTTCATCTGCAAATGCAGCTTGTAGCATTTTAAGTGTGTTGCTCTTACCCCACAGCTTAATGCAGAATTCTGAAGAACAGACGCGCTCCTTCATATGAGACAGTTAACATGATAATGCCTTTCCTTTTCTAACCTCTGACAAAATAAATTCTTTGAAAACATTAGAAATGCTAGGCTTCAGGATGATTCAGAAACCACATGAAACTGTAGGACCCTTCTGCCAGTCATTGTCTTCAGTGTCATCCTATCCTCAGGAGCAAAATTCAGATCCCACCATTTTGGTGCTGTCAGCAGAAATGTGGCCCTCCACTTCCACCCTAGCTAGACAGTGAGAGGCCAGAATATTAAAATCCGCAGCAATGTAGTTACAGATTGTGTGCATATCAGATGTGTTTTCCACTGCAGATGACAGTGACCCAGTATTGCATTCCATGTACATGGGTAAATTTGTCATTTGTATGTTTATTGAAGATTATTATTACAGTATGTATTAAGGATTTGTTTTCACAGGAAGGCAGCCTCAACACCCTTGGTTGTAAACCCAAGTAAGAAGGAGAAGAAACAGGAGAAGAAACCTGAAGGTCCAATAGGCCTGTGAGTACACTTACTTTCCTAATCATGATGATGACTTTGGAACAAGATCAGTAAAGTTATAATGTTTAGTGCAGCTCGAAGTGCATACTGTTTGAATTTTGCTTCATCTGAGTGTACAAAAATATTAGAGTTTAGGCAAACAATAATTTAACAAGGTACAAGTTATTAGATATCTGATGCAGTACATACAACCTGGAGAAATTGTGTGGGGATTTGAGAATAACTGTGGTAGAATGACTTTTAATTGTGCTTTTATGTGGGTATGGTGAAGTATGTTACTCCTAGCTGTAAGCAGAATGCGGAAGTTTACTGGCAGGATCTACGGTGATAGAACATAATGTATTTTACTTCCAGAAACAAACCCTGTAGACATCATGTCTAAAATGCTGATATCTACTGAAGACAGAGTCATACATGTATTTAGGTGCATTCAGAGCTTCTGAGAGTGTGTTAAATCTGCTCTTCCTGCGTATGTTTACCGAATTTAACAACATATGTTGCCAAGTCAAATTTTGGATAATGTACGAGACCGTGGCGCAACAATGCCCACTACTGATTTCTCTATGCTGCTATGGGTACCCTGCAGTGGTTGAGACTTGTCATAAGGCTGCTTGCAGAGAAGGTGTAGACAATTGTCGATGGCCAATTCGTTTCTCCGGCATCCGAAGGTTCCCTGGATAGTTTCCTTCTTGAAGACATTTCTCCGTCGTACCACTGTTGAGCGATGGGATACCTTCCTACTGGTTTTCTTCTGTCATGCCACTTCCACATAGCGGGCTACAGCCAACTTCTTCTGGGGTCCACAATTTTCTCATGTGTCAAATTCTTCATATATCGCTTGTTTCGGTCCCTACGCCTTTTCTCTTTCGGTTCTCCGACTGGCATTATTCAGCATCCACTGGTACCTCTCGTTGTTCTGCATCAGGTTTCATGTCCACTGAGGCCGGCTTTTCTTCTAGACGTGCCTCCATTTCTCAGCAGGCCATCGTCACTCCGACCGGTATCATGATGGGGACACCTTGTTGTTGTGCCCAACTCAATAGTATCATCCTGTTCCTTATTTAAAAACAGTTTTCTGTAATAGGTCCAGAGATAGGGATTAGTTGTTTTGATTGGGCCCAACAGAGTAGGCATTTACATGAGGACGGAGATGGAGTCAAATTTCTAAAATGGTGTTCTTCTTTTTGTATAAAGCAGGGTAAGCGATAATGTCCAAAAAGTAAATGATTTTATAATGTGTGCAGGTGTCCAGATTGACATAACCTTCCCAGTATGCATTCATTGATAAAAAATAGCACATAAAATATATGAAATAAAATGCTCAAACTGCAAAATTTTAACAACTGGAACACAAAGAGAATAATCTTTTATAGAACTTTAACTTGGTTCAGTTGTAGCAACAACAATTACTACAATTACACTCTCATTTTAGAATATCAACTGGAATGGTGTTGTGATCCAATTGAAGCACACTTGTAAATTCTGGTAACAGACTTTGGCCTGTTTAGCAAAATGCACAGAATGTGATGATAACACTGACTTTAACATATTACTTATTTCAAGAATGCCGCAGTTCTCCTGTTCACTTTTATTTTACACACATACAAGTGATATCTTCCCTTCACTTTCCCAACTAAAATTTCTGTGAATTTGTCTTCCCTCATATGTATACTATGTGACCCACATCTCTGAGGTTTTTTTTTATTTTTTATTTTTGTAACAGTATTGATGAAGAATACAAATTATGAAGCTCCTCATTATGCACTCTCATTAGGCTGAAATACTGTATGCACCATCCTGTTCTGACAATCTATGTTATTCTCTTATGGGTGAGAGACCAAGATTTACACCCATTTGAAAACTGTAAAATTCAAGCTGTCTGTATTTCAATAAAGGATTCTGAACTGAATAGTAACATTTATGCCATGAGTTCAACCTGCTGTTAATTTCTCCATGAATAATGTAAAACTAGTGGTATGTAATAATGTAGCACTGTGCAGTTCCTTGTGGACAAAATGACACTGGTAAATTTTTCTGTGTGTACTTTGCTTTTCCTTTGCCATCCTTTCGGCTGCTGAAAATTTCTTAAAATTTTGTTTACTAGTAACAAAATTCATTACAGTGGGTTTACCTAGCAAACTGTCTGGGAGTGCATTTTGTGAACTTTTAAGTGTAGATATGTAATAATCAAGAGTACTAAGATATCAGTTCACAATATTTACAGTGATCCACATAGTCTTAAGGAACAGAACCAATACACTCCTGAGGAAATGGATGCAATCAGAGCACTGCTAAAGCAGCCGCAACAGCACCAAGATAAGTAAGTTATTCAGAATGTTACCATATGTTATGTCTAATGAGAATTACTGGTTTTGCAGTACTGTTGTTATTCTGAAATGAAATGCTGGTAGCTTTCTGCCAGTGGAGAGGGTTCATTCATTCATTATTGAAGGGGGTGGGTTTCCCAATGCACTGCGACCAGTTGTTGATATATTGTACGTCCCCCTTTGATATTCTAGCAGTCGCCATACCCTTCTGGTACTAGTGCTTGCTATCAGCCCCGTTCAGCCAATGAGTTTGGCCCCTCTACTAGCAGTGGTGCCCGATACTTCCCCACATACTGTAGGCATTGGAAACTACTTGGGCGGGAAATTTTTTCCTAATTTTGCTCATAGGTCTCCTAGAATCATGAGGATCTTTTACGTACCGTAAATCTACCACACAGTTCCCACGGCTTAAAAGTCCCTCCCGGAAGACTTGTTCCATGATTTTTCCGCCCTTGAATATTCCACAACCTCCGCCAGGTTTGAACC